CTGATTTGGCACTGTTCTCACCTAAGAATAAAAATTCTGTCTGGGTTCAGTAAGTCTAAATAAGGGCTCCCTCTCTACTCCCATCAGAGGAAACAAACATCGAACAAATTTTATGTTGCTTATATGTTGATGACTTCTAAGGAGATGAGAATTGCCAGAGCACTTTTCCTAGTGGAATATAGACCCGATGTGCTATTTTCCTGAACAAGCAGAACCAAATTCCTGTATCTCCTTAAATGATGAAGCAGTTACTGCTAAGCGTCATCAACTAGTAAGGACCTATGGTCAACCTATTGGGAATTATGAAAACAGAATCAATTCTTTTCTTTCTTTCCCTTCAAAATTTGGGAAAGCTTTAGGGAAGCCAAATTTTCTTTTATTCACAGATGTCTTTGAGTTTCATCAGTTTGTAAGCCTACAATGGTAGAAGAAAAATTGTGATAAAAAAAACAAATACTCAGAGAAAATGTCAAAATTAAAATATAGTGACTGTTTAATATGGGATTTATGACCTATATAAATATAAAATTGATGCTTATCAAGTAGTTATTTTTTCCCATGTCTAGAAAATATCTCCAAATTCCAGTAATAATGACCTTAAGCATGCCAAACCTTTCACGCTTATTATTTCATGTATTCCTCATCTATCTATGAGGAAGGTACTGTTATCATCCCCATTTAGCAGATAGGGAGACAGAAATTTAAAAGCTGTGACTTGCCAAAGATCAATTTTTAAGTGGTGGAGCCTGGTTATCTACATCTGTTGGATTTCAGAGGTTGGGCTCTTCACCCCTGTTATGATACCACAAAGAGAGTTTTTGAGTCCTTGGGAGAGAGATGGTTTGTACACAGAGAATTCTTCTCCCTTCATTATGTGCCTCAGGCTGTACAGCTACATTATCTTTCCTATATCCAAAGTTGGAAATGGTATTTTGCCAAGCTTCTGCAGAGCTTAGCCTTTAAGAGGGTGAAGGTGCACGTGATGTTTAGCTTTTGAGATTTCCTGGGCCTAGTTCCTTCACAGTTGGTACATTTGGTATTACATCTTTTTTCATATCAGTTTTTCAAGAAGCTGCCCTTACATTCTTGTTGGTGAGACAAAATATGGATACAGCTCACTTTTTTCAAACTTCACCTGCATTCCTGCATTCTTCATTGTTAGTCATACTTCCTAACTGTGGTTACTGAGTAAGAACAGAAATAAATAATATGATGGATGGGTGAAGAAGGGAGGGCAGATGTGGATCACAGGACAAAGGTCTGTTAAGGGAAATACCTTGAATCAATGCTTTACCTGGCATTTTTTTTTCTAGAAAATTCACTATTTACATATGCACTGAGGAGACTTCTGCTTCCAGGAAGATGGGAGTAGACATACTTTTTCCTACTTCTTTCACTAAATACAGCTAAAAACCCTGGAACAGAAGAAGATTCTGAAAGGAAGGGTACCTGGGTGTCTCAGTCAGTTGGGTGACTAACTCTTGGTTTCAGCTCAGGTCATGATCTATAAATAAATAAATAAGTTTCTGAAAGGTGGAAAGAAGGCCCATCAGCTAGGAACCTCAGGACCAGAAGACAGTCATAGTAGTGCATTTTCTGGATTTTCTTTTTCCTCATAGGTCTCTGACTAGGTACTAGGTATTCTGAACCTGGCAACCCAGAAATGCCAAAGGCCATGGGCCAGTGGAGACCATGTATAAAGTGTGGACCCCACCTTCGGGGTCACTAGAGGGCATGTGGGGCACAGTAATGAGGTGTTGCTCGATATCTACCTCTATCTGGAAGTAAGGAAGCAACCACCTCGCTTGTCCTGAGGCAGCACTGTCAGAGAAGTCCTGCTAAAATACAACCTTTTAAGATGAGCCAGCTTTTTAATATGATACCCCAAATGTCCAGGTATTTTTTAAAAGATATTATTTATTTATTTGACAGATAGAGATCACAAGTAGGCAGAGAGGCAGGCAGAGAGAGAGGAAGGGAAGCAGGCTCCTCGCCAAGCAGAGAGCCCAATGAGGGGCTCAATCCCAGGACTCTGGGATCATGACCTGAGCCGAAGGCAAAGGCTTTAGACCACTGAGCCACCCAGGCGCCCCCAAATGTCCAGGTATTAATGGAAAATCATTCCAAGGAAGATCTCAACTTGAATGAGATAAGACAATCAACAGATGCCAATAAGATATTAGAATTATGAGAAGCATTTTGAAGCAGCCATCATAAAAGTTCAATCAACAATTATAAACATGCTTGATAAATGAAAAAATAACAAATCTCAGCAAAGAAATAGGAGCTACAAAGAAAATCAAATGGAAAATTTAAAACTAAAAAGTACACGGGCACAATCAGTGAACTTGAGGATAGAACATGAGAAATTGCCCAGTCTGAACAGCAGAGAAAAAATACTGAAAAGATAAAAAGCCTAGGGACAAGTGAGACTAGAACAAAAGATTCGACAACTGGGTCACTGGAGGCCCAACAGGAAAGGAAAAAGTGGATGGGGCTAAAAGAGTATTTGAAAAAATAATGGCTAAAAATTACCTAAATTTGGGAAAAGACATAAACCTACAGGTTTAAGAAGCTAAGCAAACCCTAAACAGGGCCCAAACATATTCATGCCAAGACATATCATAGTCAACCTTCTGAAAACTAAGAACAGAGAAAAAATCTTGAAAGCAGCCAGAAAGAAGTGATGCAGGAAACACACGGATTTTGGGTGTTAGAGGAATGGGTGGGTTACCAGCACTTCTTGTTGATTTCAATTATTAGCCTTTTGTCTTCGTAAGTGAACTTAACTGAGCTAACATGTACAGAGCATTTACCAGACATCTGTGAATTATGCTGGCACTTGAGGGACATGTGTCAATCTCATTCCTCTTATAACTGCTCCACAGCAGATGTTATCCATCAGAGCAAATCAAGAAATTCCAGAATTTGGAAGAACCTCAAAAAAAAAAAAAAAAAAAAAAAGACAAGCACAGAAATTTTAAATTTTGGATTTCTTCCTGGGCTTCAGCTCTATGAGCTACTTGAAATTAATCTAAAAATCCCACCATGTATGTGCATTTTTCCATGGAAAATATCCATAGTTTTCATCAGATTCTCAAAGGAGCTGGTGACCCTAAAAAGGTTAAGAGCCACTGTTAAGTTTCTGTTCTTTTCAGAACAGAAAGGATAAACCATATAATCCAAACCAGGTAAAAAAGAACCTAAAAATAGAGAAGGTATTCCTCAACCTATCTGTCAAAATTCCTGAATGCTACCTCATGTTAATTCTCTACTTTTAAGGGAAAAATAAGAAAATGGCATTTTTCTAGTTCCTTCTAGGCACTTCAGGAAATACATCACTCATTAAAGAATGTTTGCCTGTAGCCTTATTTCGATCATTTTAAAAATAGTACCTGACTAATGCATTGTGATTTAGAATGTGCTTTAAGTTTGATTTCTACCAATGCCAATGAAAAAGTTCAGATGTATAAGAAGGAGGAGCAGCCTCTCTATGCCAGTATCAATGGGCTGGTTTATGAGCTAAGACAAACTATTCTACAATCTGCATTCCTTTTTCCATCTTTCAAAAAAAAAAAAAAAAGGGGCATATAAAATTAAGTTCTATTAATTACACAATGTGTAACTGCCTACTTATCTGAACAAAAAAATGTTAGTGCATTCTCTTGTGAAAAAATAAAACAGCTACAACAAAAACAGATCTATTCAGTTTGTTTGTATAGCTGTCCCTCACTTCTTGTACCCTCTACCCAACCCCTTCATGCAAGCCAGGTGGGCTCACCTGCAGGACCACACTGTAAACAGAATTTTAGGTTGCTGCTGCCTGTTCTTTAATCAAAATTAAGACTCCCAATGTCACCTGGAGAGCTAGAGATTGGATAATGCATTATTTCAGTAAAAAACTTGATTGCCTGCTTCCAGTAGGACCCGCATATAGTTTGATTTACTCAGACTATTCTCTGCTGGTTTATATCTACAGAATCAAAAGAATCATGAGGGCCTTCTGTTAAACACAGAATTCCAGGCTCCAACTTAAAATCACCACAATGCAAGTAGGAGAAAGTTTTGGGAATCTGAAAATTTTTTCAAGTCCTTCAGGTGATTGAGTTCAAACAGTGTAAAAAAGGCTTCTTAAACTTGAAAATGCACACAAATTCCCCTGGGCTCTTGAAACAAATGCAGATTATGATCCAAATGGTCTGGAGGGGGTCAGAGATTCTGCATTTCTAACAAGTCCGCAGATGATATTGCTAGTTTGATCAGAGATGGTATGTTTCGTCTGGTTAGTGTGTAAATCAGTGTAGGCTATTACCTTTTCCTTCTGTATCTGTGAATTCTCTATCAGGGAATTCTACCTTGAAACTGCCCATTTCTCACTTATGACTGACAGTGTTACTATAAGCTAGTGTGATCACTTAAGGTAGGCATTCTGCCACTTAGCTGGCATAAAAGTCCATACAAAGATAAAAACAACCTGAAATAAACAGAAATGAACATCACACATTAACTTAAAACATAAGTTTATATTTAATATAGTACTTCTCATCATGGAGATATTATTCAGTTAATATAAAGGTTTTTTTTTAACATTAAATCTCTTCTCCATTTCAGTGTCAATATAAAGTATTTTTTTACATTAAATATTCTCTAAATTTTAACATCAGATACATTGAATACATTTTTATTACGTCCTCCACCAAAGGAATAAAAATTTTAATTTCTGACTGTATTTGATTTCTAAATACAATATTAAGTTGGGAATTAACAAAACAAAAATCTAATAAAAATACGAAGAAGACTCCTTAATGATGGAGGAACTGGCAATTTCCTAGGGTTCCGGGCAAGGGTTTCCTTGTTCTTATTTCATGCACTTTAAGAATTCTGAGAAACTATGAAATAATATGTAAATTTCAGTGACTTCTTTGACCGTTTAACTAGCATATATGAATTATAGACTGCTTTTTTTCAGTGCACTATTTTTTTTGTGGGTTTTTTTCCCCCCCATTTAACATATATTAATTTGTTCCCATTTACAGGGAGAAAAGAATGTGAAAATACCGTGTTTCTTGGGAACTTTTAGACTTTAAAGCTCAGTTTTTAACCTCAGTAACACAAAGGTTTTCTGGGCAAGGTTCGATGCAGAAGGCCCATCACCATCACATCTGTCCATTCCTCTTTCGTGCATATACCCCCAAACAAGCACAAATGCCAGTAATGCTGAGAGCCACACCTAGCAAGAGAGCGATTGCATCTCCAGCTTCTACTGCTTCAACAACTGGCAGCACCAAAAGCAGTGAAATGAGGACCAAGAGCAACTGTGTTGAAACTGAGGTCATGATGTTGGGATCTTCAGGTATCTGGATCTCGAGGACTGACGGTTTCTAGAAATCAAACGTGGAAACAAAAAGGAATCATTAAAAATTCCCACCTTTTCAAATGACAGTATGAATACATAAGTAACAATCCGCACACCTTTTAAATTTAAGTTTCTGACCCATATTCTCATTTTATGGTAAAAAAACAGGTTAAGTTTATAAAAGGTAAGTAAGGATGGTCATTTGAGGCTCATCTTCTTTCCATGTTAATTCCTTGACTCCAGCAAATTTTCCACACTCTTTCATGCCGACACCGTGTGACTCAACTAAGCAAACTGAACAGAACATATTAAGAACAAAGAGAAAACATGCAAGACACTCGGAAACTTAAAATATCCCAGTGAGTAAAAATTACATTTCCTTAGGATTTTTCCCATCCAGGAAATGCAGACAAATCTGGCAAAAGTCACGCCAACATGTAAGTCTGTGAAGTTGTGGGGAATTAGTAAAACTTACCAAAAAGAAAGATTTACGTATAATCCTCTCTGATTCGAAATCGTTCCTTCCTGGAGTTCCGAATCGCTGAGGCTAAGAGGTTTCACGTGACAGAGCCTATTAATCAGAAGAAGGTAGGATTTAAGAATTATTCACCATCATCAGCATTATTATTATTAAAGAGACAGCCATAGTCAGTGCAGAGCGAAGAGGTCGTAGGGAAGAGAGAGGAATGTCTAAATAACTAGAGAAAACAGTTTGTTCAGGCAGGGGAACTAGATTTAAAGTTGGTCAGTTCGCCCGCCCAGGAAAATCTAAAAATAAATCAAACCCTGAGACGAGTTCGTGCCAGGACCTGAGATTAAGATTTTAAAAAGAATAGCCGCTTTGTCCCGGCGAGGTGCAAATATTAACCCTGTTTTACAAATACACTGAAGCAATCTTAAGTATCCTTTGGAGACGAGTTCCTACATTACCTTCCCGGAAGCAGCCATTAGAGGAATGGCGAAGAGGGCGGGGTCTCCAAACTACACTTCCCACAATCCTCGCTGCGGGCGACTCATAGGATGCGCCGGCGCGCTCCCCTGTAACTGGCTGAGAGAGTGACGCGCACGCTGCACGGGGGACGAGGAGGAGCAAGCCTGAGAGGCTTCCTCACGCCAGCATTTTACCGGTAAAGTGGTTTAGTGTATTTGTACAAACGCTCTCTCAAAAATGAGATAAAGAAATGACAGCAAGTGGCTTTTCCCCACTTAAGGTTTTAAGCGACACAAATAGTTATGTCTTTTTTTTTTTCGACTGAAATGACAGAGCAGCGGAAGATACCACCCGAGGACAGCCATCTGTTTCAGACCGTTTTAAACTAGCGGCTTCCAACGTTTTGGAGCAGGGAATCCCCTGTCACCATCTTCCAAATGTGCCTTGTGACGTTTTGTTCATTCCCTTTAAGCAATGGGGAAAACACGTTTAATTAGACGTTTTGAAACATATTAAGACCATTTGTAGGGAAACGCAAAGTTGAGGAAAAATGGTTTGTAGGAAGATCTTTTTTATTCGGGTTCTGGAGTTAGGGGAATCCCCATTAGCTCAAGAGTGCAGTGTCTGTATGGTACACTTAGTGATTTCTTCTCAACCATGTCTTTATGATACCACACTATTTGCCCCCAAATATTTATGAAAAGATGTGAAATTACTACTTTTAAGTCATAAGTGAATTATTTGCATACGTAAGTCAACCCTTTCTGAAAGGCACCCCTGAACCTCAATATCTGTCCAGTCCTTAAATGAAACTTCTAGTCACACCTAGCTTTCTGTACTCCCATTTACTGATTCGACAATTTATTTAGCAGCCTCAGATAGTAAGTTATTAGTGATGTGGGTTAAGGATGAAGTCACTGCCCTGTCAGAATCAGTCAGTCTCTCAGAGCAGATGCACTCGGCTCAGTGCCCCTATCTCGTACCTTATCTTTTTTCATAAATGTTACTAATCTCTCTAGATTGACAGCAAAGGTTTACATTCTTGCATCCTAACAGGCACCCAGCAATAAAGTTGGCTAATCGTAATTATTTGAATAAATACACGTGCCAACAAGATTTCATGAGACAAAGAAGTGCCAAATAAACACACACCAAAAAAGTCTCTTGCGTGTTGGAAGTCTGAGGATAACTACACAATAATATTGTTAGCGTTGCTTCTCTAAATTTGATTGTTTTAACAAACATCTGTCTTTGCCTCATTTGCTTTGAACTTTTAGTTTTCTACCTTTCCAATCAAGTATATTTGAAATATATTACAAAATATTATCTTGTATTTTAGTATGAACATTTTTTGGATTTTATTTTTCCCTTTATGTTTATTTCAGTAAGCTAAAGTCAGCAGAGATTACTTTAAAGTTAGTGTTATTATAGGCTTGTTTCTAAGTGTGTCAACTTTGAAGATAGTGGTTTGAAGTTTGAAGAGTCTATGGAGGGTAGAATGCTTTTTCTTTAAAATAATAAGATGTCAATTAATGATCCGAATAATCTGAAACAGAGTGTCAGAAGTTTGTGCAGAAGTGTTTTGGGCCCAAGTAGTTTTAAAATAAAGTTGATTAGCTTTCTCTAACTAGCACCCACCCCATTCAGACAATTTAATAAATGTATTGCTATATATGCTTTCGTGTGCTTTATTCCAGTCCTAGCATCCAAGATGTATGGTATCCTAGTTCTCGGCTTTTTCTTACTACCCTTGTGATTAAAAAATTAATCACATATTCCTTTGCTTAAAACTATCCAGTTTCAACACATTAAGCTGAAGTCCAAACTCTTTATCTAGACTCACAAAGCTCTATACATTCTGGCCTCTGCTTCTCTGATATCAGTCCATCACTCTTCCATGCCTATTCGATTCTAATCACATTCACCTGTTTGCTATTTCTTAAACATGCAAGTTTTGTTGTTTCCTATTGAATTTGCCCTTCTTATTGTCTCTGCCAGTAATACTTTTCCTACGGACACTTTAATGGCTGTTTTTCAAGGTTCTGCTTAAATGTCACCTTCTTCCCTAAGCACCTCACAAAAGATATCTCTCCTATTAACAGTCTATCCACTTTCTTGCCTTACTTTTTCTTCATAAAGTCTATCACTGAGATTATATTATTTACGTATCTGTTTATATGTGTAGTAGGTAAACAAATACAGTAAACTGAAAATTCCATAAAGGACAAGAAATATTCCTGTTTTATTCATACTGAGTTCCTAGCTACTAGAACAGTGTCTAGCATGATAGGTACTTAGAAGGTATTTTGTGAATGAATGAACATTAATATAAGACTACAATTTGATTAATATTTACTTACCTTTATAGTGTTCATGGTAGAAACTACCTTATTTGTAGGATTGGCTTTTGGGCCAAGTATGAAGATACCTGATGATCTAGACTGAGCTTACTTTGAGTCTTCATTCAAAATTTGGTCTTACATATTTACCCATAGTATTATTAACAAGAATTTACATTTATATACATATAAGATATAGTAGCATCTAAAACAAGAACATACTTTGTTTAGGAAGCTGTCTATAATGTCCCTACTTAGCTCCTCTATCCACTTGAAGCATCAGGATTTTGACAACAAAAGTTGATTAAGTCTACCTGGATCACGTATTTTTTCTTAATACTGGAAAGGTTCACTTTAAATACTTCTTAATGTTGGATGGACAATATTGACATTTTTGGTGAGATAGTGCTTTATGGTGCAGACACAATACTGCAGGATATTTAGCATCCCTAGCCCCTGCCCGCTAGATGCCAGTAGGATCTCCCAGTCACAAGGACTGGCCTCACAGCTGCCCTCACACATTGCTAAATACTCTTTGGTTGTAGACACCGTCCCTAGCTGAGAAACACTCCAGATTTCATGAACAAAATGAAGGGTAGAGTTGAGAATGGAATGAAACCGAATAGCAAAGAGTTTGCACATATGGGTGTATGTTTATATACACACACAAACTTATATACAAACACTCTAACACTGCAGGGTCTTCATAATTTAGATCCTCTTCCTTTAAATATACTGGTTTTATGTTTTGTGTTATTTACAGATACTTCTCTTTTTCCTGTTAGCATCTCTACCAGACAGGTTCCACTGGTCATTTTCTTACAGCAACCCTGATATGTAGATTGGAATGAGATTTCTGCTTTTATATCTGCCACTCAGCTTAGTCTTTAAGCTACAGAGAGCTAGTATGATATAGTGTAAGGAATATTAATTTTTTCCCTTGGTGGTTTTGTGGATTTGGGTATTTATTTACTCTCTCTGAGGCTCAGTTTCCTTTTACAAAATATGTTGTGAGAAGATTAAAGAAATATTTTTAAAGTGACTGAAAAAGTGACCAGAGATCAATACTCCTCAACTCCCCCTTTAATTGTATTTCTAAATCTCTGGCTACTGGTTAAAAGTTAGGGTTTCTGGGTCAGACTGCTTGATCAGTATTCTGCCTCTGCTGCTTACTAGCTGTATGACAATTCTAAACCGTTCTAAGACTCAGCTTACTATCTATAAAATTGGGTATAGTAGTATCTACTTGTTATGTATAGTAGGAAGATTAAATGAACTAGTTCCTGGAATAAGTAGCTGGCATGTAGTAAGCCTTCATTGAATATTAACCATTTAATTTGCTGTTTTTTTTTAAAGATCCTATTTATTTATTTGACAGAGAGAGAAAGAGAGAGATCGCAAGTAGGCAGAGAGGCAGGCAGAGAGAGAGGGGAAAGCAGGCTCCCTGCTGATCAGAGAGCCCAATGTAGGACTCCATCCCAGGACCCTGAGGTCATGACCTGAGCTGAAGGCAGAGGCTTAACCTACTGAGCCACCCAGGTGCCCCTAATTTGCTACTGGTTGCTTTTAATCAAATCCACGAAATATGAAGTCTTTAGGGTGTGGTTTCTCTCCATTGTGAATGTGCTCTTCTGCATAGTAAATAACAAATGCTTGTGGAAACGTTGGATGCAGGCACATTTTAGGCACCCTAGGCTTTGGGTTGAGGGCTAACAAGAAACAGTCTCCAAACTCTAAATCTGTGGTAGTTGTGATAAAAAAA